AGGCCCACTCACACCCCTGGAGTAGAGAGCACCATCAGAAGTGTGCTGGGTGCAAGCAGTGCACCTGCTCAGTGGCCTGACTGTTGCCGTCTGGTGGAGACCATCTTCATCAGGCTTTGCACAATTCACCCAAGCCCCAAAAGAAAAGGCAAGGGAACGCTGTCGAGATGGTCTCTGATCCTCCAAGACTACAGAAGGATAAGGCAGCTTGTACTGGGCAACAGCTTGGTGATGGGAGGAACCTCAATGCAGCTGGTGGAGGTTAACCAGAACACCCTGATTCAGTGGTACAACAACAGGCAGAAAAAGCAAGAGCTGTCTGTGCTGCTTCAGGGCATTCAGTTGCCTCAGCCCCTCCCTGAAGCTCAGGAACCTTTCCAGGCTGCCAAACGCCCACGGACTGAGCCAGGACAACCAGGGGAGCAGCACCAGTACAAGCTACCAGAGAGCACAGCAGGTCAGGCAAAGCAGAGGCAGACTTCTACTGGACGACCCCCTCTCAGACCCAAGGCACCAGCACAGAGTCCTATGTTGGTTACACCATCAGCACCTGGAGCATCAGTGCAGATGGTACCCAACATACTTATACCAGCAGCACCAGGTTTCCAGGGTGTGCCAGTGTTCCAGGGTCTGCAAATGGTTCAAAGACTGCCAATGGTTCAGGGGATGCCGATGGTTCAGGGAATCCCGATGGTCCAGGGGATGCCAATGAAACAGCCACTGTTACAGCCTACAGTTGTGCAGGGCACCAGTTCACGACCTGCTGCACCAGCTGCCAGTCCGCAAGCCATGCCCAAGAGACCCTACAAGAGAACTGTAGAGGCAAACACTTGCAAGAAGTGTGGACAGTTCAAAACCAGTGCAACGGACATAGGCAAGGTGTACTGCCCACAGACTGAGACTATTACAAAAGAACAGTGGTTGGAGCAAATGCGGAGAACTGTTCCCAAATGTATATATTTTTATTTATTGTAGTGTATACAGTTGTTTTAATATAGTTCACTATTGTTAATATCTGTGTTGAACATTATTTAATGTTTTTTTTTAAACATTTTTTAATATTTAACTTTATTTACTTTTTTTTTTTTTTTTAATCCTATTTAACTAACTTATTGTTTTTGAAGACTTGATATTTACCGTTTTATTTACCTTTTAATTGTTGCTTAAACTTATTATTTAATTTGATATTCATTACTGTTCTGTTAGCATAATTGTAAAATGGAGAAATTATTGCTTTTTTTATTTGTGCTTTAATGTAACAATATTTCATCAGTATACTGCAACAATAGAACATGTCTATAAAAAGATAATTAGCATTTTGTCATTCTTGTCACATACATTTTTCGGCATATTAATTACTATTTTGCATCTTTTTTTCATTAGAAATAACATGTTTGTAAGTGTCTTGAATTAATGTAACCTAAAGAAAATGCTTAATCAGAATAATATCAGTACAACTACTAAATAACTAATAATAACAACAAAACACATTTCCATTGGTATAGTTTAATTTTCATGAAAGAATATCAAACTAAGTACATATGTACAATTTATTAACCTTGAAATTGCATGTATTTAATGAAATTAACATTATTACAAAAAGTTGTCTTTAGCTGGATTCGAACCCCCGTCTTGGTGAGCACCTGCAATAGGAAACAGTGTAATATAAATGCACGATTTTCCCGCAGGAAGAAACCGGAAAATGTATCACTGCGCACATGCTAAGGAAGAACGGTCTTTAAACGTCAAATTTCACCCTTTCTTTCCTCCTTTCTTTTTTTCCCCTTCTCTTTTTCTTCCTTCTCTCTCTTCTTCCCTTCTTCCCCACCTTTGACGGACTATTGTTCCCCAGCTTGAGCACCATCGCCTTAACCACTCGGCCACCTCATCACACGTTTACTTTTATGACTGAAATCTGCACTGTGGTGGTTTTCCTGCCGTTCCTTTCAGCACAATGGTGTTGACCTTTAAGCCAAAAGTATAATTTATTTCCCCAGCGTATGCATACAGTTGACATAGACTTTCAAAGTATAGTCCTTTTGTTTGCGTGCTCTCTGTAAAGTTTCATCTTTGTCCAGCCTTTATGACTGATATGTCTTTGTACTCTTTCAAATTAAAGTTGCTGCTATCTCATGACCCACTCTCTATTAATTGTTTTAGGAGCACTGGGCTCCCTTCCAATGCTAAGAGGCATGAAGCAACGAAGGTGGGATTCAAATGCCACGTGTGCAGAGCACAATGGAATAGCAGTCCATCACCTTAACCACTCGGCCACGTCGTCCCATGCAAATTAGCAGTTTTCAGCCACTCTCATTAACACAACAGAGACCAGGTTCAGCATAACGTGTTGTAAATGTGGATGCATAATTGTACTCTTCAACTGAGCTGCAAGGAACATTGGCTTCTAGGGGATAGGGGCCTCACAGTGGTGTTGAAAGAGAGAAATGTGCTTCTGATTCTTTTATGTGCTGTTCTGCTTTGTGGGAAAGAACATTGAGAGAACACATGAGTTTAGCAAAAGGTAGCACATTTGACACGGGACCTCCCTCAGAACTTGTTTGCAGTATCCTTGCACTCTTCAGTATCCTACCCGACCCCCCTGGGGACTCGTCGAATCGAATCGTTCCTGACCTCGGCCACGAGCTTTAGAACTCCACCCCGTTGTTACCAGGATACCCATTTCGCAGAGGCAATATTGTAGCTTATGAGGTACATCCGAGGCGCGGTTATTGCTGGTTGAAAACTTTAGCCAATACCCCACCAGGATAACTTGAAATACAGTCAGCCTTGGCAATTTTTGCCAGCTTCTCTGGAAGCTTAACATCTTGTTGACAAAAGAGATTCCTGTTCTGTTTCGTGCTGCATTTTCTTCGGTGGATAAAGGCAGAATTGAAGAAGGCGTTTAGGGCACAGTGGATTAGGAGTCCATCTACTTGACCAATCTGCCACCTTGTCACCCTGCGTGCCTCCATTATTTACCACACCGTATTCAGATCATCAGCTCATTAGTAGAGCACTCAACGAACCAAGTATGTGTCGCTGCAGCCCGGAGACCTCAAAGTGGGAGGGTCTTACAAGTAGGTTGGGAGACCTCCAAGTGGGAAGGACTTACTCTGCAAGTAGGTTGGGAGACCTCCAAGTGGGAAGGACTTACTCTGCAAGTAGGTTGGGAGACCTCCAAGTGGGAAGGACTTACTCTTGTTTAGAGCACAGTGGATTAGCAGTCCATCTACTTGACCAATCGGGCACCTTGTCACTCTGTCTGCCTCCATTATTTAACACACTGTATTCAGATCATCAGCTTGTTA